GAGGAGAGGAGGAGGAGGAGGAGGAGGGAGGAGGAGGAGGAGAGGAGGTTGAGGAGGATCGGCGGCGAGCCCGGGGGGGCGTGAGAAGGAGAAGGCCTTCTCAGAAGGCTCGGAAGTCCCCTGGCCTCCCGAGAAGATTGCTGAGCCTTGCCCGAAGACGCAGAACACTCCGAGAAGGCCAGAGGCCTTCTGAGAAGCCCCGCCACCTTCTGAGAAGAAGACCTCTCCTTCTCAGTTCCCCCCCCTCGCTCGCCGCCGCCTTTTTCCCCTCGCATGATGGCTACCATCTGAGGGCTGCAGCTCCAACAGGAAGCTTCTCAGTCCACACGCACGCGCCGATCAGGAGCCTCAGCCTTCAGGATGCCTTTGACCACATTCTGGCACAGCCGACGAAGAGCCTTGCTTCCGTGCTTTCCCCAGGGAGCCCGCGGGCACTCACACACGATGCCGGCTGCCGATGATGGCTACCATCTGAGGGCTGCAGCTCCAACAGGAAGCTTCTCAGTCCACACGCACGCGCCGATCAGGAGCCTCAGCCTTCAGGATGCCTTTGACCACATTCTGGCACAGCCGACGAAGAGCCTTGCTTCCGTGCTTTCCCCAGGGAGCCCGCGGGCACTCACACACGATGCCGGCTGCCGAGAACAGAGGGCCCCACAGCAAGCAGGCGCCCGTAGGATACTCGGGCTTCACCCGTCCTCCCCCCTCCCTCCTCCCCCCTCCCTCCTCCGCCTCCCTCCCCGTCCGCCCTCCTCCCGACTGTTAACCTCGCGCTTTTATGCCTAGCGGCCCAGCTTTGTTCCCTCGTCCGGTCGTGGAGGTGCACGTCTGCGGTGCCTTCGGCTGCCTCGCGTGACGATGAGGGCTGCCCCACCCATGCAAAGGCCACCCTTACAGCCCATTTCGGTCCGATCGATCCGCTTCGATATCAGTTTCAGCCGTTCCGATCCGATTCGATTCCGATTCCCGGTGTCTCAATAGGCTGGAGAAAGGGACTTTTAGTCGGCACCAGGAAGGTGGGAGGTCCACCACGCTTCACCCGTCATGGGACGGGGCACTTAAGCCAAAGAGGCTAAGCACTGAGGGGACTAGAAGAGGACACAGGGAGGGGGGCCTCGAAGGATGGGGGACAGCGACCCAAACTCTAGCGTGCTTGGCCTCTCCTCAGCCCTCAACCCCAGCTTTCCCCCGTCCTCTTCCACCCAGAGGCGTCCGCGTCCTTTTCCACCTAGAGGCGTCCGGCCTCGAACGTGAGGCAGACGGGAGCTCATTGATGTGCCCACACTCGTCCACGAGACAAAGGGTACCACGACACAACAGGTCGTGGAGAGCAAGGTTCCGCTTCGCGGGGTCAGCATGAGGTAGTGGGTCCGCCGGCATCCTGCCGTGGGGGGGCCAACGGACCGTGTAGCCAATTCCACCAAGAGAGTCCCTAGCAAGCGCCAGCTCCACGGAGTTCCGCCGGTCCGCCCGAGAACCCGCTGTGCTTCATGACAAAGTGTCAAGCACGCTCTCAGCGTCCACCATCGAAAGAGCACTGGCCTTCTCCCCAAGAGAACATTCCTGCGACATGATCGCAGCAAAGGGCGAGGCGGCAGCGCACCAGTCGGGACGAGGGACGTCCCCGTGGACAGCGTCCCTCCACAGTGCCTGAGGCCATTGAGCCTCGGCAGTGGCCCTTCTGAGGGACAGCGCCTCGGCCGCGACCGTGGAGGCCACGGCTCCCCTCAAACGTTGGGGCCTCCACGACAGCAGGCCCACACGATCCGACGTTCTTCCGGATTCCGGCGTCGGCGAAGAGGACGAGAAGGGCCCCTTGGGCTCGAGGGCGGCAAAGAGGGGGGTGATGACTAGGGTGGGGTGGATATCATGGCGGGGGCCATGATATTTCCTCAGATTTCATGGCGCCTCTTCTTATTTCATTACGTCCCTGGCCCCCCCGCTGGGCCGCACACATGCCGCCAGTCATGATTTGCACCCCCCCTCTTGGACACCCTCCTCTTGGCCGCTTCCGATGGGCACCTTCCCGCTGGGCACTCCCTGGGCCCCCAGCGTCGGAGGCGGTGACGAAAACTTATAACGAGTACGGACCCAGTCCCCAAATCGTCGGACGCCGAGCCGCTGTCGCCCTGAAATACTCGCATATCTGGATCAGCATCAATCCATCGGCCACTGACGGATTCGGCATCGCCGAAGCAAGCAGCGAGGCTCCGCCCGCCACGTCTCGGCGAGATTCTCGAGCAACCCACGGAACTTTGGCGATCACAGCCCTATACGATCCTGCTTCTGACGGGGAAAGGGGGTCGTCTGGGCACTCGCGGCGAGACTTGTCCGGATGCAGACACGACAACTTCTCCCTTGACATTCTCTTTGATCAATCGTAATCCTGTCGGGATGTTGCCGAAAGTGCCTGCCCCCCTAGTCCGCCTCAGTCTCCTTCCACTTGCCGAAATGGAATCGGGAGGTCAGGCGCTTGTGAAACTCTGGGATGAACTCGTCG